CACACACACACAGACAACCTCTCGTCAATATGCGTTTTTCGCACTGCATTGCTGCAAAAAACGCATTTATGGCTGATCCATGCATGCATTTCACTTAAAACGTACAATTGGATTATATGTTTTATAGAAGGGATTTCCAACCTCACTTGCAAGGATAACATATTTCATGCTCAGTGCTACACAAACAATGTAGAAGTAGTAACTTGTCACCAAGAGGAAGCAGAGCTGAAAAATGGAAAGGCTCCTAGCAGTGATGGCATTAACATCGAACTGATCAGATTCGGAAAGCGGAAGCACTGGAAGGCTGAATCATAGAAAAACCAATTTTACAGATTATAGAGAATTCACTATGTGTAATACGAACTGGTTGACTGCTTATTGAGAGAGGACACATTTTATTCGTCGCATAATTTCAGGTAACAATGAAGGATCGAGCGGCTGCCGATCGTGCCTGTAAAGATCCAAATCCGATCATTGATGGTCGCAAAGCAAATGTTAACCTGGCATATTTGGGTGCTAAACCGCGTGGTAACATACAACTTGCTGGTTTGTTTCTTCTTTGAACCGTCTCCTTAACTTTCTGTAACATGATGCAACGCGAAAAGGCTTGCTCTCTTGGCCGCGTTGATACTGCGTGTGTTGTGGTACCACAGTTCCATCGACTGTAACAGTAGTTGAGGATGGAAGCAATTTTTAGTGATAACAGGGTTAATTTTGCCCAATACTGAAACTGAAAAATTTTTATGAAATTGATAGAAGTTAGAAAAAACCCAAAAAATCAAAAATCCAAATCCAAAAAAAAATAGGTGATAAGGCCCCAGAGTTATATAGCTCGGGATCAGAAGGCCTTAGTAAAAATCACTAACTTAGAATTTCTGTGCCGATGCTCTGGGCAGTATTGATATTTTTGATATATGGAAATGCACAAAAATTTTCATCCTAAGATAACTTTCGTCCGATCACGTATGTGCAAACCGGTCATCAGATCATAAAATTGCCCACTTTGGATGGCATTCAAACGTCAATATGTAAAGACTTAGTGGTTGCTGCACTCTAATTAGAGAATACGAAAACTAGGACCATGTAGTTTGGGATTGAAAGGCCTGGTGTAGATGTGT